TGGTGGAAATGTATTTCACGGAGCTATCAAAAAGCAAATGAATAAACAAAAGTACAAGGAATGCAACATTGGTAATTCGATTGTCTTATTTACGTTTTAAAACAGTATTTTGAAATGGTAAATGATTTACGATTGAGCGAATGACATCTTTTATCTGTTGATCAAATAAGTTGGATGGTTAAATGGAAAGATGAATCGCATCGATTTCCCGCGAATGTTATGTGAGCAACTGTAATAAGCGTATGAAATATTCCCAGAACGGATGTTTTCGTGATGAGTTAGAAGGCGAAATTATTTTGCTGAACGCAGTAGCATATTTTTATACTACGCGCTGAAAAGAGAGTTTAAGAAGAATTAAATTGAAAAAGATATAAAACAGATATTGGCTCATTTATATTTTAAATCTTATAACATAAAACACTAATGTAATTTAAATTAGATTGAGTTAAATTTATTAATAATTCGTACTTATTTATGGACAAAGTGCAACTTTACAAAAATGTACTGGGAAATTTTAATAATAAACTAAACTAGTATCGTTTCTTTACGATTTCAAAATTATTGGTCCTAATTTGATGTTAAATTGGCCATGTTATTTTCACGTGTCACGCGAGTTACATAATTTTAGGAGTAAAAACGAATATTAAATGAACAACGGGTACACAATTTTCTTTAAATTTAATTGTTGATCAATGTGCAGCACACGTTGGGATCATCCAGCGTAATTATGAAATACCTTGGCTAGAATGCAATCTGAGTTAATTATTATAAAAGTTAGCATTGATAACTTTTCACTTGACGAGTCTCCTTTGCACGAGAAAAATGGCGCCAGTCAAAAATAGCAATTTTACAGAAGAACGATTTTAAACCTTCAATTTGCTTGCAAATCATGCACAATTACCAGCAGATATGCTAAACTGGTTTTATCTCTTTTTTTTTCTTGCCTTAACAGATCTTTCTCGATAATGAGAGAAATCACATTTTTCTTTCAAAATTCCTTCTCTCTTATTCCCACTATTTTTAAACAAATAACATTTTTTGCACTAGTGCTTTTTTGAATGACATTTTCGTAACTGCATTCACGATGCTTTTCTGGTTAAAAAAAACTTACGTTTTCGCGTTAATAAATTATTTATAAGCGCGAAAATTCATGTTTTTTTAATCGTATCATTTTTCTTGTGCAAAGGCAAAATATTTTAATGCCATCAGGACGTGAATAAAAAACTTTCTTGGTACCATATTTGTTTTTATCGATAGATTGTATACAATTTTATCCTCCACTGTTTAAAATGTAGGAGATGCGGCAGAGAAAACGTAACGCTTGATTCTTTAATTATCCTTTTGATTAGCGATTCGTTCTAAAACTAAAAAATAATTGATATCAGGGAAAATTTGATACTTTACGTTTATATCATTTAACCGTGGCTTTGCATTTTAGGTAGCGCGACGGGGATCGGACAAGGCGATGACAAACCTGCAAAGCAAAAGCGACATCGGACGCGCTTTACACCGGCCCAGCTGAACGAGCTGGAAAGGTGTTTCGGCAAAACTCACTACCCGGACATCTTCCTGAGGGAGGAAATAGCACTAAGGATCGGCCTCACGGAAAGTCGCGTTCAGGTAGGTGTGGTCAAAATGTACACACTGCCGCTGGCACGAAATGATTAATTTCAACGTGCGCTGGAGAACTTATTGCGTGACTTCGCGTTCACCGCCATGCCAGAATTACACGTCAACGTCCATGTTGTGCACGTTAAAATGGTTACAATTCGGCATTATGGTTCGTACGCTTATTTAAATCAGCTACTCTGCGTAAAGAGAAGATATAATTCAACTCCTTTTTTTACGATTCGGCCCATCGCATCGCAGAAATTAATTATCTTTTTTCCCAGAAAATTATTTTTCGTATCATATACGCTTTCTGCAATGACCGATTCATTTGTATAAGTGCTTCAATTATTGTGGTGATGTATTATCGTTATAAATATTATCATATAAATATGAAGCGGATCTCTGACACGCTTAAAATAATAATACGCTGGACAACAATGTAGCGTCGTAAGGACAGATGTTTTTACAAAAGTTTATAAATGTAAAAAAAATTATGTCTTCGACGTGTAAAAATTTGAAGGCGGACGTACAGCGTAGTTGCGCTTCACACGGTAGGATAAATTGTCGTACGGCGACCTCGCGGTTATCCTCAGAAACGTATCCCAGACAGTGCCGGAACTCCGGCGGAATCAATTGTGCCGGCCTACCGTGGCTTTTTGGATTAAAGTGAAACTTGGAGCAGCAGCTAAGCCCTCGCTCTGCGGGGTTCCGAATTTTGGTGGGTTCCACTTGGTTGCGAGGCGACCGCGAAACTTTGCGGAAGCTCGCAAGTCCCGCCTCTGGCACCAGGAATTCCGGGATCAAAGATCCAGAAATCTCAACCGCGGTTCCCCCAAAAGCAGCTCTCCTGCTATATCGATCCTGCAAAAGCTACTGTGTCGGTTGATTCAAATCTTTTTAATGTAAAGATATGCAAGACAGTGGTATGTGTGCAGATGGATTCGTCGTGAATTAGACTAATTATAGAGTTTACACTTATTATTATTGCCCGACGTGTGTGATTGAGAAAAAAGTTTTATTTTATGAATAAAATAAAACGTTTAACTTTCCTCTAAAAAGAAAATTTGAAAGAAATTATTTAAAAGAGAGGAAGAGAGCTAGTTATATTATATTAATACGTAGAGATGTAACAAATCGAAAATAGCGTACATTAACGGCGAACATTAAAAATAGACGCGTCAACAATAAGCGTTGAATCAAATTAAAAAGGACATGGTAAATCGAGGCATCTTCCGCATTACGATTTAACGGGCATAATGTGTTTTTGACAGCAAGAATACTCGCGTGGTTTCCGCGTTATCTATATACGGAACTGACGGAAATCTCAGTATTTATGAAACAAAAAGGCTTGAATACCCCTGTCCTATTCATCTAAGAGTTTATCGACCTTTTCATTTTATTACCGAGCGCATTATTAGCACGTATTTCATTAAAGATTCGAAAGGAAGATTAACCGACGACGTATTCGGCTTCGAAACGAAGTTTCGCGCAATGCTAATTCAAAACGACGCGAAGAATGATTACTGAAAATGATGAAAAATTTACAGACTTTTCATTTATTATAATATACTTGCAATTGGTATCGATATTATCCCACTTGATTTGAACGACGGAAGGCTGAGATTGTTTCGCGCCATACCAAAACGGGGGTAACTTCCTTAATTGTATTCGTATGATCTTTGTATCTCGATGATAATTTTGTGTGCCAAATTAATTTGAAAAGCAGACCGCGCAAATCGGGTGAAAAAAAATGGCCTTCTCGATCGGATTTGGCCACATCGGGAGCGTAATTTTGGCCTCCCTGTGGGCTATCAGCTGACAGAACTTTTTTAAGTCTCCGGGGCACGTCTAGAAAAACGGAGTTAATAGAAATTCATGAAAATTTTATTCGCAACTTGGAGGCGTCAGTCAAGCCGGGCGTTGTGCTGCATACCAAGCAGCTACGCTCCATCCCTCTCGCGTGCGCGTATATAAATTCGCACATACGAATCGCCGGATATGACGCGTATCCCCGTATTTGTCCGCCACGTAATTAAATATCTGTCTGCACGGCGCGAGAACAGCTATCTAGATATCGTCGATTAAGGGTACTTTATAACCGAGATAATCTTAGTCGCGCAATAAAAAGAAAGCTTTTAAAGCCAAGAGAGATATTCCAGGGCTCGTGGCGGTTTAGTGAATTTTAATTTGCGTCGCTTATCAGCTCGCTGATTCCATTTCAAAATCGTTTTTTCGATATCCCGTGCATACACTTATTCCATTATATACATTTTTAAGAAGCCGATACTCTCCCCGGTCCGTATTGTCGCAATGACTGCCTTGATTTCTGATTTTCATCGCGCCGACACATTGACCCCGGCGTACGCCGATCAGTTGCTTAACGAATTAGTGGTTTCAAAGTCACCCGGGTGTACCCGGTGACTTCCTCGCCTTCGACTCCGTAGCGGCGCGCATTCGCTTCGGCGAAGACGCGGGAAACGTCAGGCGAGAGAGACTGAAGGGAAAAAAAACAAAAAACAAAAAAAGAGAGAGAGAAAGAAGAGAGAAAGAAAAGGGAGAGAAAACGGAGCGGGATTCGTGGGGTCTGTCGGGCGGCAGGCTGCCTAATTGAAAGAGGTTTTCTGTGGGCGAGGGTAGACATCAGCGTGAACGAAGCGTTTCCAAGGAAACCCGGCGGCGAGCACTCGTGTGGAGAGGGCCTTCGGCACCAATGGGGCTGCGAGGGAAAGGCGCCGGCGCTCAGCATCGCTATACTATCGAGCGTCGCTATCAAAGGTTTCTTGACTTGCCATGGCGGATCCATCGCGTGTTTTAAGGACGGCCGAGTAATCTCTTTTTATTCCCCCTTCCTCCCCCTTCGATTATTGCCGCGCTGCCCGCGGTTACGCGTCGATCATTCGCGGTAATGAACTTGAATGGGGAAGATCTCGATCGCGCCGGTACCGCGGGACACGCCGCCGTCTCATTTCGCGCTCTGCGAGACCAGAAATGTGACTGCGCGTTTTCCCTTAATTACGAAAGTCCGATCACGTTTGGGGATTCAAAAAATACGCGCGCGCGTGTCGAGCTACAAGTCGCTTAGGGAGTAAAAAAATGTCGGATTTTCGGGACACGTCCATTAACGTTGACTTCCAAGGATCGTTCCTTCATAATTGATACGGCCGGCGAGAAGCTAAATTTAGAGCTAGGAATCGGGATGGGGGTGGGGATTAGTCAACGAACGATTCCGCGGGATTTTGTAATCCACAATTTTACAATTCGCTACATTGTATACGGCATAAATTATGATATTTCGCATCATTGATACAGTAAGCGTAATAGCTCTGTTGTATAATCGTTGCATTAATGGGTAGAAAATTGCTCGCTACGAGTGCGTTGCACATAATAAAGTGGCGGCTCATTGCCTCTCTGTCCCACCGATAACTGCGATAGTTACACAAGAATTGCTCGGCATCGCGCTGCTTATCCAATCGTCCCTTACGCACTTCTGCCCCCTTTTAAATTTTATTATAATAATTTCGAGCCTATTAGAGAAAAATATATTTACGTTCTAAAGGAAAATATTGGAGGAACGTTTGCCTTGTTGGTTAAGAACAATTGAGGCACGTTTCTTAATGTTATTGCCCAGAGTGCGTTTATATTAATTTTGAACCGAGAAGAAAACTATTTGTCGGTATAACTCGTTGCACTCAAAATCCGATCGATACCGCGTGCGATAGAGATATTTCGAATGCAATCAGCACACACACACACAAGCACCGCTGGCGGAGCGAACGGTCGCATGGAGAGATTAATCAGTCACCATTTTTCCGATCGAGCACAATGCGGCGGAACAATGGGAAGCATCCCTGATTAGCAACAAAATACTTGGAATAGCGTAATGAAATATTACGGTTCATCGATTTGTAATTTATTATCGCTCGAAGAGAGGCGTAATTGCTGCTCCATCTCTAATTCCCGTTAATGAACAACTATTAAATTGCACGGGTAACGCATCGTGAGAACTGCTGTACAAACAACAATTACTTCGAAGTGGCATTATGCAGCTATTTGAAATTATGTGTAACATTTAATTAACGTCTTAATGCGATTATTGTTACGTTGCGAACTCGTTAGCGCGACGATACGTATTGTCCTAAGACGCGTATCGGAGATACGCGCATTCCCGCGATGGCACCGCGCGAGATTTGACGTATGTGTATAGAATATGGCGAATTACCGGTTCGCGCGTTCGCCCGAAATAAAATAATTAAGAGCCACCGACTTTATCGCTGAAAAATGCACGGGTTTTTGGTGAGTGTTCGCTCCGCTTAATTAGCCGTAATGGACATAATGAATTTTACATTAGACCGAGTTTTATCATTTTCGGATAAAAAAAAAGGGTAACTCACGTACACTCATACACCCGGCGCGTTACCCGGTTTACGGAGCGGGTCTCGTCGCCAGGCGCAACCGACCCCCAGCTGCATCGAGACGGTTCGGCTGGTACATTTCCCATACGACTGCTTTTCCATAAGTGCGGGAGGTGAAGTTTTTATAATGAAAGCGGCATTTTAACATATTGCAGTTAATAATTTTCGCCTGGCAACGAGAATTGCTTTCGCAATATTTAATTTTTCGAAATTGCTACGGGTATTTGTTTTTTGTTTAAATAAAATTATTCGACGCCTCGTCGAGGGCTTCTAACTCGTAACTTAATTTCCGCGATTGATCCCAAGTGTGGGACAGAAGCGCAGGGATCGATGGAAATCGGCAAGTAGCGCGTGTCCGTTTCCCTTCCCTCGTCCACGCGCAGGAATATTTAAAATATATTGTTCCTCAATGGAAGCGCTCGATGGTTATGCATTATTTCGCGCGGTGATAGCGCGAAATAATGCGGGACCGCCGCAGGCCGCTCGCGGCGGGAATTCACGATTGACGCACGGGGTCAACGGCTTTTTTTCATGCGATGTGCACGCTTTTAGAACGCGCGCGCGGCGTTATTCCTTACCGTCAATCATACCGAATAT